TGTACGTCAAGTTTAAGTTCTGTACGTCAAGTTAAGTTCTGTACGTCAAGTTAAGTTCTGTACGTCAAGTTAAGTTCCTGTACGTCAAGTTAGGTTCTGTACGTCCAAGTTAAGTTCTGTACGTCAGTTAAGTTCTGTACGTCAAGTTAAGTTCTGTACGTCAAGTTAAGTTCTGTACGTCAAGTTAAGTTCTGTACGTCAAGTAAGTTCTGTAGCGTTCAAGTTAAGTTCTGTAGCGTCAAGTTAAGTCTTCTGTACGTCAAGTTAAGTTCTGTACGTCAGTTAAGTTCTGTACGTCAAGTACAGTTCTGTCGTCAAGTTAAGTTCTGTACGTCCAAGTAAGTTCCTGTTACGTCAAGTTAAGTTTCTGTACGTCAAGTTAAGTTCTGTAGCGTCCAAGTTAAAGTTCTGACGTCAAGTTAAGTTCTGTACGTCAAGTTACGTTCTGTACGTCAAGTTAAGTTCGTACGTCAGTTAGTTCTGTACGTGCAAGTTAAGTTTGTACTCAAGTAAGTTCTGTACGTCAAGTTAAGTTCTGTACGTCAAGTTAAGTTCTGTATCGTCAAGTTAAGTTCTGTACGTCAAGTTAAGTTTCTGTAGGTCCAAGTTAGTTCTGTTACGTCAAGTTAGTTCTGTACGTCAAGTTACAGTTTGTAGCTGTCAAGTTAAGTTCTGTACGTCAAGTTAAGTTCTGTACGTCCACGTTAGTTGCTGTAACGTCAAGTTAAGTTTCTGTACGTCAAGTTAAGTTCTGTACGTCAAGTTAAGTTCTGTACGTCAAGTTAAGTTTCTGTACGTCAAGTTAAGTTTGTACGTAAGTTAAGTTCTGTCGTCAAGTTAAGTTCTGTACCGTCAAGTTAGTTCTGTAGTCAAGTTAAGTTAGTTAAGTTAATTATGTTCTGTACGTTAAGTTAAAGTTTATGTTCTGTACGTTAGTTAAGTTATGTTCTGTACGTTAAGTTAAGTTATGTTCTGTACGTTAGTTATGTTTTGTTCCTGTACGTTAAGTTATGTATGTTCTGTACGTTTAAGTGTATGTTATGTTCTGTACGTTAAGTTATGTTTATGTTCTGTACGTTAAGTTTATGTTATTTCTGTACGTTAAGTTAATTATGTTCTGTACGTAAGTTAATGTTATTTCTGTACGTTAAGTTAGTTATGTTCTGTTGTTAAGTATGTTACTTAAGTTAGAACGAAGTTAAATAGTATTTTAATTGGATGTGGTGAATAGATACCTTTTTTATTTTATAAATAATAGAGATTATTGTCAGGTTATCAATATTTTAATTCCACTAATATCATTGATCGCGTAGCGATCATCCTCATGAGCTAAACATACAAATATACAATGTGAAATATTGACAGGTTTGGTATTGTATAAAGATGCGTAAGCAAACTGGATCGTACATACCCGATCGAAATGATCATTAGTGGAATTAAAATATTGATACCTGACAATATCTCTATTTATTTATCTAAATAGTATTTAAGGAATTTACTTCCTATTTTTGTTTCACAACTTTTATTTTCCTGTAGTAGAGGAGTATCTACAGAACTAGAATTCCGAAGTTCATACTTGATACATTTTTGGAATTATTAAATTGATTTTCATCATTTTTTTTTTTACATACTTTCATGAACAAATGTTTTACAAAACATTCCTATGTATATTACAAATTAAATGAAAATACAATTTCATGCTGGTAAAACACATTTATTTTTAAACATATCTAATTCATCATCTTTTAAAAGTGCCACTCTGCACCTTCTACACCACAGAATTTTTAAGATACTTTCCTATAATATATTACTTATTTGTGAAGTATTATCCTTTGCACTATTTTATCTTATTTCACAATTCATTTGGTCTTATTTTCTATTTATGAAATACAAAAATATTATAAATTTAAGAGTTTGTTTAAATTCTCTTGTAAGTAAGTTTCTTAGAATGTTCATAATTAATTAATCATCTATTTCCTGTTATACATTTTTTAAGAGCACAAGAGGAATTTGAGATTATTTCAGGAGTGTAACATACCTAATTTCTTCATTAACACCTAAAAGTCTATTCATTAAATTGACATCGTAATCTAGAAACTCATTTTTGAATTAAGAATTAAATTATATTTTGATTCATATCAGCACTTGAAAACTATGCACACTGAACTATTCTATTTTGTTTCAGAAATTGTGTATCATCCCAATAAACTAATTACTACCAACACTCAGGTTTTATGCAACTACCAGCTCCCTAAAAGGAGTTGGTGATTTCTCCAGGATGCATAGAACTATTGCATGGAGAATAATAGCAAGCCACAACAAAACAATCAACAGAAACTCAGATGTTAAAACTTGTGTGGAAAGGTGAGATTTTTTTAATAGGGTGCTTCTAGGTTATGCAGGATATCCTAGGTAGCAACACTATTGATACCTCTCTGCAACACTCATTTACCACAAGAAAATTTATATAATGAATCCCACATTAAGAGAAACGTGCACCCACCCACCCCCACACACATACATTACAATAAAATAAAATTATTTTGATGCCTTCTCCCATGCTTCCACCTCCATTCCTAAAAGCTTTCTCTTTCCTTCTAACAAATTAAGTTGTTCTTTCATTTTAATATTTAAATGTTCATTATATCACTCCAGTTTAGCATTAAATTCCTTTTGCAGAAGAGCCATTTCAGTTTTTGCAGAAGCCCAGGAGTGCAACATCTGGCCACTTGCTAATGTGGAACCGTGGTCTTGCACATCTGAGGTGGCCTTGACGCACTCAGGGTCACATAACTTACTATAACTTCCGTTTCAGCAAAGGAGGGGTAGAGCTCAACCATTGTTGCACCTCAATACCACCACACTACACTGACAAAAGCAACTCTCCCTCCACTTCAACACTTAGCAGTTCAGTTGTCTCTTCAGTTGGAGGTTTGTTTTTTTATTCTTTTCCTTTTATTTTTCCCCCAACTGCTGCTGCAATGATCTTCTCAGTTCTGTTATTGTCATCATGTGTAGACGGCATTCCTGCTGCAATTACACCCATAATGCAAGCCATAATTACACCCATAATGCATTTTTTCCAAGAGTCTTTTTGAACCCTGATTGCAAGGCCTCCTCAGGTTCTTAATGTTCCTTCTCTCTCTCCCCCTTTTATCTTCTTAACTTCTTTTTTCATGTTTTCTCACTTCTCTTCTGGTAGCTTCCGAGTATGGCAAGATGCAGTGGTTGCATTGTAATTGTGAGCTATGTTCTCCCATGCTTGGTCCTGCAAAAATTTAAGTATTTTATACCATCACGAAAAGGTATATTACAGCTAATAAGATAACAAAAGTGTAAATTCAATGGAGTAAAGTTTGATATAGATAGTTAATTTTTTTATAATTACCTTTTCTGACACGTGGTTCTGTCAGTCGTTTTGCAACTCACAATTCCAATGAATTGTTTAACTAAATTTGCCAACGTTAAACATTTCTTCTTGGTGAAATTTCTTCAAAAGCTTGTTTTTCAAGTTTGACATTTTGCCGGAACACACAGAATTTTGCATTTTGCAAGTAACACAAGCACTAGAAAAGTGAATTACTAAGTGGCCGTGACTAGCGAAGCTGAACACATTGTAAACAAGACTCCAATCGCTGTTACAGTGAAAAATTAACGTTGCAATTTTTATAGTTAAATACAGAAAACATTATTCTGCACTCCATGAATCCTTTGCAGTAAACGTTTAAGTGAGAGTTAGCTATCTTTAAGCTACCTCACCCCCGTAATACACAAAGTCCATTTTATACTCCAATTTAAACAGACACACTTCCCTTCACAAGCTGGAGGGGGAGAGGGACATAGACTTTCCATTGGGAGCTTTATTACGACTTAAATTTTTGGTATTAGCGCTACCAATTGGATGAGTGTCTCCCTCGCTGTCCACCTTGTGACCTCGAAGCACCATTATATATATAGTTGGATTTTTCTACACGTTCTGCCTTATCATATGAACATTTATAATTAATTCGCTAAGACTCAACAGGGCTCGTGCCTGTAGAAATGTGCTTACCAGTGTAAAAAGATACATTTTATAAGAGAGGTGGTGTAATAATCATCTAATGTCAACCACAATGGTAATTCGAAGTAGAACTTTAAGTTCTTTTAACCGGGAGCTAGTTAACTAGAGGTTGTAATGAAAGATAATAATGCAGGGCCCGAGTAAAGGATAGAACATAAAAAATTTAGAAAGTATGAAATAACCTAGTACAATAACAGAAATAATGACAGTAAGCGCAAATAAACCAACAAACTAACAGTAAACAATGTTTAATAAGAAGGGCTACCATCAGCTGTATTCAAAAGACAAGCTCATTTAACCCTTTCACTCACATTGTCCTACATATAGTACCATTAGTTTGTACATATTTAATATATTTGTAAATTATTTTGTGCAAGTTTTATTTACTAATTTTTTTTCAATATCCATTAGTTGCTTAGAATATACATTTCGCTTTGTTCCATATTATAATATCTTTTAATGATAGTTGAAAGATATTCTGATGAAACTGATCAATGTGTGATAGATTGTTTCATTGTTGTATGATGTCACATTCTTTGAACTGGCTCACTGTTTCTTTTTATTGTTGTCAAAACAATTTTCTATTGTTAACTGTATAACTACATCATTATCGATTCTCAGAAGTTGATTTTGAGGGCTTTGAAGAAACCATATTTATTTAGTACACCATGACCCCATAAGAACTGGCGAGTAAGTGAATCGGCCAAGATTGTAGTGTTGAATTGTTGAAGATTTCATTTGGAATTTTGATGAAGATTTCAAAGAAAGAAGAAGTAAAAAACTTCTTTCACTCATAGAAAATGGTGACATAACGGAAACTGAGAATCTTTCAGGTTCAGAATGTGATGAAATATAGTATTTTGCCAACAAAAATAGGTAACAAGTTAGACTTCCTACCATCGGCTAGTGGAGTTTTCCCAACCAGGTATCTTCCACCAGTGAGATAATGCCTCTGCCGAGACAAGCTCTAAGCTTCCGACCGGTCTCCTGGCTTGTGTGGTAGTGTAATCCGGGTAAATGTAAGTGCGTGTAAGGGATGAGGATAGGACAAGGAAGAGGTAGGAAAGATCAAGCAAGATCCACGGTTTGTATTTTGGGATCCTGCACTGGCATTCACCTGGTATTGATCAGAGAAACCATGGAGAACTATTGATCAGAGCAGAAGGCCGCTAGAATTCTCCACCAGACAGTGACTGTATTCGACCTGGCCGACAAGCTGTTGAAAATCCTGCCAACATCAGGACTCGAACCCAAGAAGTCCCGGTCAGAGGGAGTGTAGTGACATCATTTGAGGCCCTGAGCCATCTCTTCTGGGTCTCTGTAAGAAGCCCTCCCAAAATCCGATGATGCCGATCAAAGTCCCCTGAGTAACACATCCTAAAAGAGCAGCAATTATTAAGCCAATTGCAGATATATAGTGAGAAAGCATAAACCATCTGCCCGAACTTCATATTAAGAGACGAGTCCATTGTAAACTTCAAAGTTGTGATGCCAAAACATTCATTAAATACATAAAATATAACATACTTTTATGTGTATGACAGAGGAAAGAGATTTAAAATAAAAAATTTACAATGAAAATTTCACTTGAAGAAAATTTGCATTATTTGTTAAAATTAACAATAAATATTCTTTTTAAGTTTGAATCTTCAAGAATATTTAAAATAACCAAACACATTTCTATCAAAGGCCTTCATCCGCAAAAAATCTCAAATTCTTCCTACATATAGTAGTCACAGTGTCCTTTATGGGACAATACAAATTTGGACATAAGTAAACGGAAATGGTTTTTGGTGATGACAAACTATAAATTAATGTTAAATTAGAAAGTATGCCAAATTTCAATTTTTTATCACTAAATCTGAAAATTCTTGACAGAAAGGGTTAAACTCATTCAAAAACCTAATGTCTTTGCGAACGCATCATCAATTTTACATATTTGGTATTGTTTTAATAATTTAATATGATTTTTAATAAGACGTTTCAATCTCAATTGTAAGATCCTCATCAGTATCTGAAAATACAAGATTGTTAGAAAAACAATTTATTAAATAATGATTTTGAAAGTCAAATGTACAGGTTTACAATTTTTAAAATGCATAATCTCTGTTCCATTGCACTATATATATGCTGGATTCTCTGAAACTAAAAATATAAAAATAAAAAAATAATTTTAAAAAAGGGTAAAATAACCTTATTTACAGGTACTGAAGATCTCACATTTTGAGATTGAAACATCTATAATTAAAAAATAATAATAAATAATAATAATTAATAATAATAATAATTATTATTATTAATAGTATTAATAATAATAATTAATAATAATAATAAATGACCAAGTCATCAAAGCATGGGAACAAGAACTGAAAAGTCAAAACTTATGGAGACTCACAAGGCTAGGAAAACATCAGGATAACATCAACATCACATGCCTAGCCTTCGCTGATGATATCGTGATCCTTTCCGAAGACGAACAAATAGCAAGCCATCAGATTGAAGTCTTAAAAAATTGTGCCAAGAAAGTTGGACTACAAATTTCCTTTTCGAAAACTGAGTTCATGTCCACAAATCAAATCAAATCAAATAAGAAAATTTAATTACAAAATATGGCACTATAAACAAGGTTGGTCACTTCAAATACTCAGGCGAAAGTATTGAACGTACAGGTACAGAAAGATTAGCACAGAAAACAGGAACTCGAAATGCGGAAAGCCTGTGGGAAAGTTGCAAGCATCTACAATAAAAGATGTATAAATATCAACACAAAAGTTTGACACTACACTACTGTAATCAAACCTGAAACGCCAGCTACGTCTTACGCCAGCTAGATCTTAATTACAAAGGACACCTCAAGAATCTTCTGCAAACGACAACTGAAATTCAATGAGCACATTATGAGACTAGATGACAACCAATTAACAAAGCAAATTTTGACATACTTACAAAAACTGAAAACGACAAGTCTGGGTAAAACAGGTCCAAACTGATCTAAAAAACGCCAACATCTAATCAGGAGACATTGAAGATCGAAACATCTTCAGACACAAGATATATATCTGGGAAATTATACCAAAGACAAACCAAAGATACCAAGAGGAAAATGGACAGATGAACATCGAGCTTAGTATAGTGAGATGATGAAAAAATGCTGAAAGCAAAAGAAGGACTGCATGCAGGCATTGCCTCCTGCAAAAGTTTTTGCATCTTACACCAAAAATTGAATTTATTACAACTTGAATTGAATTGTGGAAGAAAACTGCACAAGATTTAGTACAATCATTTGATCCTATACAATAAGATTTAACATCACTCAAAAACTTAGCATCTGAGCTTTCAATTAAATCCAATTCATTACTGTTAGCAGTTCTGCATATTCAGTTGATTGGAGTGAGTGCCGAATGTAAGTTCTTATACCAACAACACAAAAATATGCATATTGATCTCAAATGAAATGATGGAACCCCACAGTCCAACTGTTCTAACAAAAATGGGCAACTGACCTTGCCATTTTATAATTTCCCTGAAAAAAACCAAATCCACAATGTCCCTACAGGATTTTGGGAGACACAATAACCCCTAAAACATTAATTTTTCACCATTCGTGGTTGATAAAAAGGGCCTGCAAGACCTAAAGGCATAAAGCAATTGCAAAAAATTGTGTTGCATAGTTTCTAATCGATTTATCAGAACAGCAAAAAATTGAGACCACACTTTATTATTTTTAGATACACTAGTTGCTTTGAGATCATTGTAATTCAGGAAATTGTTACGAAAGTTATAGGAATTTACTTAACGAGGTGAAAGCGTGAAGTGAACTATTGCAATAAATGTATGTATAATTTAGATGTAGTAGTGTGTGGTGTAGTGTAGTGGAAGTGATTTTTTTTTTTCCATTTTTCTCTCTTCCTTCTTATTACTATTCTTATGTGAATTTTTTTGTCAGACTACTTTGATATATATTGAAATTTATTGATTTATTCATATATATTAACAGGGGTTGAAAAATGTAATAGGTAGAGTTGTTTAGAATTATATTGTGGTTTTAGGTAATATTTTTGACCCCTAGTTGTATGAATGGTGACAATGTGTCATTTATTGTAGCCTGCAATTATTAGCAGGGCTTAGATTCTAACGGCGTCATTTTTTCATTGGTGCATTGTAGAGGTAGTTAACCTGTAAATCAATGTTTATCTGGACATTTAGACAATAGAAATGGGTCACTGTGGGACAATAGAAATGGGATTGTTTTTCAAACTCTCAAAATTACATGGATCTTTGAAGCTAAGGATATATTTCCTCGTAAAGTAAAGACTTTACATTTTTTTAAATTGTAAAATTTATTGCATTTTTGTACAAATTATTTAAGTATTTATTAAAAAAATTAGGTAATTTTCCTTTATGTCATCAGAATCAGAGCCCTGATTATTAAAACGCACATGCCGTGCCAGGGTCGACATCCCCTTAATGTTTAAAAATTGGTGAAGTTTAGATACACAGAATGTT